ATATATATATATATATCTGAAAAAATGATAGTAAAATGCAAATGGGTTAAATCTTTCCAAAAGTTTTATTTTATTAAAAGGAAGTATTCACTTTAAGTTAGAGGCCAAATTAAGCATGCCGGGCATGTAGACATACAAGCTTTTTATAAGAGACTGAGTTATATTCTGACTTTGCAACACATTAGAGGGTGAAAAAATTGCAGATTTCACAGCAACGAACTTAAAACTTTGATTTTCAGGTTGCCTCAACACCAATAAGTAAAATGACACATAATAAAAATAAACAGTAACAGAACTACTTTTTTTCAACACAACAATAAGCACAACAGCAATATCATCATCCATCTTTAAAGCCATTCCATATATTTCGAGAGCAAAGAGATAATCATGCTTCCAGCCAACGTTTTCAGCTTAAAGAATCTCTCTGGCTTGAAAAGAAAAGCACTGCACATGTGGGATTTAGAATGAAGCGGCAAGAAAAAGTTTCTGAATGCCTGGGTTTTGCCTTCGGTATGATATATATGGAGTATTACCCTCAAGAGAGGCAGCTTTTGGTGTAAAGCAGCCGAAATTTGACCGTTTATGTGATACCCAGATCGACCTTTCCAGTTTTTGAGGCTGAAGGAAGCAGTCGGCAGCTGATGGTTGAAGACATTTCTCAAGTGAAAGCAGTCCTGCAATGAAGAAACAGAAACCTTCAAGCAAAAAACTGAACTAGTTTCATTAGTTGTTGCTAACATGAAGCACATGTTAAGCTACCTCCTTTTAGATATTGCTTTGTAGTTTGAAAGGAGAGATGAGGCCAGGATGGAGCATGAAGAAGTTGCATTTTAGAGAGGGAAGGAAATGAGAGAACTTTTTCTTCAGTGTTAGCAAAAAGACACTATAAGAAGTTAGCGGTCGGTCGTTGTGAGCCTCATGTTTCGGTTGCCCGAGCGATAAAAATTAATGGTTCAAAAAACTAGAAACGACAACGTTTCAGCGAGCTGTTAGTCCACGCGGCATTCCGGTCTGGCTCTGCTTTACAAGATTTCAAAAATTGGCCACCTTTTTCTTTACGTATTCTATATTCAACCCAGCTTCATTTTTGTTCATTTCTTTTTCTTGGACAATTGGGCTTGCATCCATCCAAATCTACACAGATATGGGAGCAAATTAGTTTGCATCACTAACAACATCAAGAATACAAGCAAACACTATACCTGCAACATCTTCCTCTAATCCCCAATTTGCAATGAGCATCCCGTTGATACTGTCCCCTGCAATCTCCTGTAAACCTTGAAGCCTGTATCTGACAGTTACCTTGACACGGTTGAGTATTGCTGAACTGGTATCGGTCTTTGCACCATAAAGTCTCCTGTTTCTCTCCAACCCGACAAAGGAAATATAGGCACTCCAGGCTATCCTTGGCACAACCGCACAACTGCTATCAATCAAAGCTTTTCTTTTTAAGGCTTTGCTGCACCCTTCTGAATTCACTAGACCAATTGAATTGAAGGATTTGCCCCCAAACCTGCTTAGTGTAATTGCTAGTCATGAATAAGTGATCCCTGGTTTCCATTTTCTCATCATAGAAAACGTAGTTTGTGTTGCGAGAGGAGATCCCCCAAGAGCTAATTCCATGCTGAGTAGGTAGCCTGACCAGAATAACCACTCAAGCAAATATTGAAATGCCTAGGAAGATGATACTTAAACCATATACCCTTTACGAAGGAAAGGGAGGTATTCCTTAGTTTAAGCAATTTCTTTCATCCCCAGCTGTGATTTTGAGAAGGTTGAATTTGCCATAAGGTCCTACCTTTGAGAACATAAATTTGCATCCAAGCTATTCCAGATGGATCTTGCCTTCTGTCCAGAAGGATGAATTTTTGTTGATTTCAGTATCGCCCTCGAACAATTTAATTTGAATTTAATCACGGTTCCATTGAACTACTAACCAAGGTCCAAAAGAATTGTTCCCAGTGTTGCCCCTGTTTGGAGTTTCCTCTTTATTTCAATAATACAGTGTAATTCCAAATGCTTAGGCCTTCTGCATAGAAAAGAAAAAGAAGGCATGTTTTCTCCATCATTTTCATGAAAGAGTCATCGCTTCCTCAATGACCTAGCAAATAATTTGCCAACAGAAACTACCAGTGACCTTGTGCTACTGCACCAATTACTAAGCAAGAGTGAGATGTAAAATTCTAACCTCTTGCTCAACAGACATGAAGACTAACACTAAAACAAAAGGGTAGAAGAAGAAAATTGAGGAACAAATATGTAACCAAATAAAATTCAAGATTAATTCATATACCCTTCTTTGAATTAAAGAAGGCAATAAAGCATCCATACATATATTCTCCATGATTAAAAGTCTACTGCTTCAAATGTAACTAGGATGTTTTAGGAAATGAAAAGTGCCTTCTACAACATGAACACTCACGTTCAAGGCCCCACTTCAACTAAAATGGGAATTGTGCCAGCAATTGGCAACCCAAATCTTTAGCCGAACAATCTAGTCCGCAATACAAAGAATCACCTTCTGAAAGTGATTAGGAAAAAATGCCTGTACAAAGTTGGTGAAACAATCAGGGGTAAGTTTACCACAAGAAAAGAATAATCATGAAGCAAACAGCAATCCTGTATTTTAGAATGCCCTGAACTAATTTAGTGCCACAGCTTACTACAGAATCCATTTCGTGGCCTCTTGCTAGATATGATATCAGAAAATGAGTCAACCAACTGCCCTGCCAAGCTACTTGGATCATCAATAAGGGTTTGAATGAATGTGTTGACCACTCTACGCTCCTGCTCTGTTGATCTCAAGCTAAACCATGTTAGTAATTTCAACCTGAATTCTTGGTTAATATGACCCTCACATTCTAGACATCTGATTATCTTCACACAGGACTCAAAATTTTCATCCAAAGAACCTGAATCATTGGAGATTCGAAATGGTGACCCATTTATGAGAGTGCTATCACAGTCATGTGTCTCTTCATGTGAGTTTTCCACTCTTTTCCTGCACAACTCTGTATGGGAATCAACAGCAGGCACTTCCCCTGTTGGCCCATTAGTCCAGGTGGAATCACCACTACCATGTGATCTTGCTAATCCATTCTTCTCTATTTCATGAGAAGCAGCATCATCATCTGCCTCCATAGCCTGTTCTAAAGTGCAGCAACCATTATCTTCATCCCTGGAGGACTCAAATGGAGGAGTTAGTTCTTCGTTTAGATCAGGCACGGAGACAACATTTAAGTCAAGCCCACGTGAAACAGATGGCATACGATCATCTTCTTGAGTTTCAGGCATAATAATTTTGCTGGCTCCACAGCATTTTTCTACATCAGCACTGCAAAACCCTTCAAAGCAGCCTTGCTCTTGAGCCCAAGCCAGACGCAGGATCTTTCCAAGGTCTCGAACCTTAAATCCAGAAGAACCAAGTGCTGGGAGCTCCTTTGAACCTAAAGAACTTCCTTCAATATGGGTATTCTCTTTCCTCTGATTCATGACAGCTGCTGGATTAGGATTCTTGTGAATTAACTCTACACTCTTGGTGAAACATTTAGCCTCAGAATGGCCCAAGTCACCAGCTTCAGTATAAGAAACAATGCGAAAGGTGTACTCGGTACATGGCTGCAGATTAGATATCAAAATCCTTCTCTGAGTACTTGGAAAGACAGAGATAGGCTCTTTTGTATGTGTCTCATCTCTGCTCTTAAAATACCAGAGCTTGTAGCCCTTAATATCATCAGGTGATGCAGTAGACAGTTCAATTAGAATAATTACAACAGATGACGATGTAACTTCTTCAAATAGAAACCTGCAAGCAGCGGGACGTGAATCTGCCCAAAAAGGAAAAGAGTTGCTCATATAACTAACTTCCAAATAATCAAAGGAGAAATAGAAACAGCCATTGTGAGTTCTAACCTTGGCACTTTGGGCTAGTATTAGACATGGTCGCCAGCCATTCATCTGCTTTTTCAATTGCAAGAGAGCATAGTTTCTGTATATCACCAGCAACAGAAAGCCTGCTGACAATTCCTCGTGCCATTTTGGCATGGACTCCATTCACTGGGCCCACTTCTTTTTCTAGTTTGGCCTTACCATCTCTCACAAACTCATGCAGTTCTTTAAAGCGAGAAGTCTTATCTAGGAGCCTGTAACTCAAGTATATCCTATAACAAAGAACATCCAGGCGGCGAGCGTCCTTTGCTATGCTTAGCTGCTTCTTCCAACATCTGCCAGTAGCATGCAAATCACACCAATCCTGTCAGCCCAAAGCTGAAAAACCTATACCAGAAAGATAGAAATAACAGTAGTTACCATATTCTCTAACACCTGATTCATCACATTGAGATTATTTTCCAACATCAAATTTGTTACAAGCAGCAATAAGTATGTTTGATGGAAATGCCTGTTTCATTCTAACAAAACAAGAAAAGAAATTCTCCAGCTTCCTAACAAAAATATGACACAATGATAAACATGGACATTCTGAGGACAAATAAAGCAAAAAAATTTTCTTAACAAATGAAGATCTCAACCAGACTGGACTTGAGTCATTGCTTGTAACCACTTCAATGCAAACAAAAAGCAATTTGCAAGGTTAGAAGAGGACAGAATTGAGCAAGTTAAATAAGGCATGAGCTGCAAGCGAATAACTTACCCCAATATACCTGAAACTTTACCACATGAAGCACAACAATAACTACCATCTAGCTGCATCAATTGGCCAAGATCAACGACCCCCACCTTATCACGTTGAAGAGCACATTCAATATGGCATGACAACCCACAATAATCCCCCTCGCCAGATTCAGAGGTGCATACCAACCAAAGACTTGGGTCCTTATTGTCATCAAATAAGTGACAGATGCAACACGAGCATCTCTTGCAAAATGTGTCATCTATGGACAGAACAGCTCTGCAAGCAGAGTTTTTACATATCCATGAGTTAGAAAATCCAAGATCTGAAGGCAGCTCAGAAGCTGGGAGCACCCGCATCGGGTTCTCCCCCTTTCTGTTCTGCTTCCTAGAGGAAGGCTGACTGTTGGCAGTGAATGAGGCCTTTCTCAACTCTGGCTTCTTGATTGTCTTGTTACTCAACCTTAAAGCTTCAGTCATTTTGCTCTTTGAAGAAGCTGAATTTTTCTTTTCTTTATCAAAACAGGTTCGAAGAAGCTCCTTTCTAGGACCTGATTTCAGAAACTCCTGCAGGAGTTCTGGACTTCTTGATGCATCATCTGAATGGCCATTTTTCTCGGGGGTGCTTTGCACACTGGATGAAAGACTCTGTAAGCCAGAAACTGCACAGAGAAAATCAATGTGAGAAAGTCTTTGGTGGGGGCAAAAACACTTAGTAGGAACTAAAACCAACATTGCAAAATGAGGACAAAAGATATCACATCACAGTTTTCAGGAGAAAGTAGTACTAATAGTGTGGATAAATAAGTCATGAAAGAAGCCGAGCTTCAGTGTTCTGTGCCAAGAGGCAAGAAAAATAATTTTTCTCTCCTTTCCAGGAACCCCCATTCATGAACCTTTTCTTTCAATAGTAACTTATGTGAGATGTTTGGCTATCATTTAGGCGATATATTTTTTTGGCCCCTATTCTCAACCCCTTGACATACGTAACTCTCACAACTCAACCCTTTCTAAAGACATTAACATAATTAGAAAAAGTCAAAATTGGTTTCTATACTCATTTTCTAAATTCAATATTGCAAGCTGCCAATTGGTTCTTAGAAGGTAAATATCTAGATGGGAAAGTAAGTCAAAAATAGTAAGACTTCGATAAGTCTAACTGCAAAAAAATAAAAAGATAAAGATAAAAGAATAACATGAATACCAGCAGAACTAGATATGTGATGCATGTATAAGGAATTTGTAACCAAAATATAAACAGTGTAGGAAATATTGATAATTTGACAACTAAAATGACAAGAAATGAAAGGAACAACAAGGAAAAAGGAGTCAACACATGTTAGGGTACTGACAACTCATGGTTTTATTCACTATAAATAAATTCATCCACGATGAGTTGCAGACTTGCGTTAAATCCGATTTCCACCCAAAAATTAAGGGAAAAGGAAAGATGGGGGAAGAAGCAAATCTAATCTGGTCCACTTGCTCAGAAGATTTCTCAAGCAAATTATCCAAATTCAAATATGTAAGACCCAAATTACAATTATCTGCATGCATCTAGACCGTATCAGATCTTGAGGATCACTTCATTTTGCAAAGCAATAAAAGAAAAATACAGAAATAACAAGCAACTTTAGAAAGGATAGCATTGATGTGAACCAGTTATTCCTAGTATTTACTAGAAATTTGGAACCAGATGGTATATGTATAAAATAAAATCTTCTACAAGAGAAAAAAGCTCCTTTTTTTTTGTTTAAAAAAAAATCACACAGAAGAAATGAAATCCCATTTCTTATAAAATGAAAAAGAAAAAAAATTGAAAGCTACATGAACAGGTATTTTACAACAAAAAATTAACAAAAATTTTGCAATAAACGCCATTTATATTATGGATTAAAGAGAAAGGGACAAATTTTTCAGTCCAAATAAAACGGCCACAAGATACCTGATGGACGCCAGATCCTTCTTTACAATGGAAAGAGAAAAAAAAATTGTAAGAATTTCACACTGGAAGAGCATCCATGGAGCAAGCTGCAGCAGAGACTTGCAAAGCAGCCAGAGTTACAGTCAGGGTTTCAAAAGAATCCCTTATATTTATATGCTCCATAAAGAAAAATATCTATTTGGACCGGGTTATTGGACTGGATCGGGTCACACAAAGTTCCATATGCAAGTAGTCAAAGGCTCAAACAAGTTTCCAATATTGACAGAGAGTCAGATTAGTAACCTGCTTGGTCACCATCACATAATTCAGAATCGTTTTAAACATTCTACTGAAAACAGAATCATAGCAAAAGGTGTAAGCAGATTAGTTGTAAAGACCAGTGACATTAAGTTCCTTATAAATATGCATACCATTTATCCATTATATCATCAAACTTTAAATTAAATGAAAATGAGAGGTAAGTGGTTTAATTTTCATGGAATTAAAGGGAAGAAAATCCTCCAACTCATGCTGGCAAGAACCTAAATTATAGCCAAATCTATAGCCAGCTATTCCTTTTCAATCCAGCAGTAACCAATGTCTGTGGTTGGTTTGATTCATATACCATGTTACTTGCTCATCTCAATTTAAAAGCAGTTTCAAATTCTGATGTGGCATTAAAATTTGGCATAACATTTTTCCTCAAAAGCATGAAACTTCCTAAGAATGTAGAAGCATTTGGTAAAACACTGAGATTAAGATTAAAGATTAATTTTGTCGATGTGGAAGAAACCAGCACATTTATCATACATACCATAAACATCATGCAGAAAAATATGTAAGAGGAAAAGAGGGGTTCAGCAGCATAATCAAATGACTGAATATGGAAATACCCCACAATAATTATCATATAAGTGATTAATTTACTTAAGGATAGGGTTAATCATAGTCATTATTCACCCTGAAATAACACCCATGCCAGAATTTGTTTCACTGACCTTGGAATAAAAATGGGAAAGAGAAACGGAAGTCAGGGAGAAAGGGGGATTGCATATAAACAGAGGATGATTCTCAATGATTTCCATTTCATACAAATGATTTAGAGTCATTTCATCTGTAACCAGGATTGGCTTCCATAGATTAAAGTCCACTAAACACCTTACACAGCCCTATAATCCATTCACATAGTTTAAAGTATCTTTTCCCAAGGTTCAGAGTCAGTTATCTCAGCACTTCAAACGACAATACAAACATCACAACATAAAGCTATTGAGTGACATAAGTATCTTAAAACTCTCCTTTGACGAACAATCTCTTCCAAGATCAAGGATTCAGTAAGATAAAAGCAGGCAGTTATAGAAAAGAGCACAGAGCAAATATGAAGAAAATCATACCTTTAGCAAGGAATTTATCTTCTAAATCCATAATTTAAATGTTGAAACCCACAAAGCTTAGCTCTCCCCCCCTGTAAACATTAATCAATATTGACCAGTGAATTATGAAATAATAGACTAATTACTTTTAATTAAAAAAAAACAGAATCACAATTTCCTCATTAATGAAACCAAAAAGGAAAACAAACAAGCAATAAAAGCTTTCCTCCTATCTGCATGTGGAAGAAAATTTTACTTTTTATTTAAATTTTATCCTTCCTTTTTCTATCTCTGCAATGCAGCTCACAATCAAACAAGAAAAAAAAGACAACAATAAATAGCAAATCGACAATTAAAAACTTTGCAGCAAATATATATATATATATTATCATTTTCTCATTAATACAGAATCCATGCAATAAAACAAAATTTTCCAGCCTCTTAAACCCAACAAAAAAGATTTAAACTTTTTCACAACATTGCAAAAATCGATTGCTTTATACCATTAGAAAAAAGAGAAAACAAAACAAAAAGGAATTTCATGAAGAAAAGCTTATTTAAAAAGCAAAATAACAACAATGCCTGTGAATTTACCAGTGGATAAATTCAAGGAGGAGAAATAAAGCACATTCAAATAAAAAGCCGAATAATAATTCAAAATTAAGGAAAATCAAATGTAGGACAAAGTAAAAGAGCGTAAATTTAAAGCGGTTAACTGTACAAAAAAAAAAAAGGAACGTAATTTGACAGAACCAAACGGAAGTTAGAAGAAAAGAGCCAAAACTGAAACGAGAACGGATCTGAACAAATAAAAATAATAATAGCAACAACTCCCATAAAAATCATTTCCAAAAAACGAAAACAATTAAAAGAGAAATATATGTCTAAGATAAATACCTTCGTATAATGGGGAGGAATCTAGGGTTTTAACGAAGCCAAAACCCCAAAAAAAAAAAGAAAAGAAAAAGAAAAAAACTTTGAATCCAAAGAGAGAAAAAAAAAAAAGGGGAGAGAGGAGACAGGCTCTTCGTTGTTAGTTGGTTTTTGAGGAGAGAGAAGAGAAAGCTTGTACGAGTTGCTAACGCTTTGGAGCTAAAAAAGTTCAGGGGAGATTCACGCGCGTTTGATTTGTTGGTTTTTTTGAAAAGCCGGGTTGGTTTCTGGTTGAGGAGAATAAGTACGTGAAGCACTGTCTCTTCTTCTGATTGATGCGTGATGTAACAGCCACTGGGGTAGCGCGTGCTTGATTGTTTTATCCATAGGTTATTTACTATTTATTTTTTAAATATTTTAATAATTTAGGGTTTGTTGGCCCAAAAATTTAATGATCAAATCAAAGTCGTTTAACGTTCAGAACCGTTGGATCAGAGGCTGTCCCGGCTCTTTTCTCTTATTGGGGAATCTAATTTTGGTTTTTTACACTGTTGACCAAAAGACTAATGATTTCAAATTAATGGATTAATTAATACATGGAATTATGAAACAAGTATTGGGGGAAATTAATTGGAGGGATTAAGGGAAACTCATGGGATTCAGAAACCAAACAAAAGTGCAACACGTGGCAGTAGAATCTTCAAAGAAATGGGGTGGGGGAGGCAAAGAAAGGGAATCAGTCAAGGAAAATTTGCCGTGTCAAGTAGAAGACGATAGAAGGTCGTACATGTGAATTTTCATGATTCACATTCAAACACTTTCCCTTGTGCTTTTGTACTGAATTAATTAATAATATAAATGAGAAAAATATTCATGGGCAGGTGAAGAAATTGTTGCCTTTTTGTTGACACTAATATCAGTTCACACATGGAAACACTGCAACACATGTCCCTTTGCTTTTTCTTTTGTGCTGATAATGACTTCATCGGTTTTCTTTTCCTTTTCTCTTGGATTTTAACTTACCCTCCTTGAATCCAAGTGCTTGCAGAGTTAGGTTAATGAATGAGTCAAAGAACCTAATCAGTTTTTAGGGTTCTCGATTTATAACTTTGAAGAAGAAAGTCTAGCTCAGAAGAAGCAGCCGTAAGATGGTAACCACTAACTTCAACCATCAACACATGCGTGCATAGGATGAACAAATAGGATGTAATGCGTGCTGTACAATTTGACTTTAGGGTTCGGTAAATATGGTTTTCATTTCTAGCTAGGAAAGGTAGCTGAGGGAAACCCTAATCCATGCAAAGTATTTTGTTTTTTGTACGGGGGGCCTGGCTTATGGTTATGGGCTGGTGACGAACAATAATCATGCAAAATCTGATATGGAGTTGTGAGTTTGTGTGGCTCAAGCAGGAGCTGTTGGTTGGCATTGGCAAAGACAATGCAAGCTGTTAGTTGGCGATGGACTGGAGTCTTATCATTATTATGGATTCCACAATATCCAAAAACATTGAGTACAGCGACATAACTGTGTCCTACAAACAATAAAAAAAGCCGACGTGAGATGTGACCCTGTATCTAACACGATAATTTGCTAGCTAGCCATGATAAAGTGAGAAAAGCTCTCTGCAATTCCCGGAAAGTGGATCTAATCTAATCAAATGGATACTACTACTGCAACTACTAGTACTATGCCTAATTGTATACAGTAAAAGTGCAGTAAATTTTTGTTGCCTCGGATAGATAAATTACTTCAATTCCAAATTAGAATGTATAAATTATATGATGAAATTCGAATTTAATAATTATTTATTGATGTAAATATTAGTTTTATCAATTGAATCAATTTTTATATAGGTAAAATTCGAATTTATAACTAGATTTAGTAATTTTGAATACAACATGAAAAGGCACAGAGTTAAACAATTTATATTTAATTTTTTTTGTTTCATATCTTAATCATGTTAGATGCAGTTAATACATTTAATTAATCATATTATCGTATTGAAATATGTATAAATGATACGTTTAATGTTAATGATCTATTTTATATATATTATTTATGTTAAATTTTATTATATTTAATGTTATTATCATTTTGTTATAATTATTTTAATAATTATTGATTGTAAATTTGAACAATAAAATTATATTTAATTTTAAATATTTTAAATTAGTTGTGTTAAACTTGTCAATCGTGTTAGAAAAAAATCATATTAATTATTTAATTATATTTATTAATCGTATCATATAGTATAAAATTTTAACATGTTTAATAAATATATTAATCAGGTCGTGTTATACAATCATTAAAAATATTTATGTACATATTTCAGATATTGATATAAATAATTATGCATGTTATATTCGTGTTTAATCTTATCATGTTTCATATTTTAATAGTATCAACACTATTAACATACAAAAACATGAGTTATCAGATCTATTTGTAATCATTTACTGACAATAACAGATTTATCTATTGAATCAATCCGTCGCAAACAAAAGTGCAGTGCAATAGTTCTTCCCTAAATGCAAAACCTGTTACTTGTAAAGGAATTCATTTGCTTAGATTGAAGTTTTTATTGCACATGCAGTAGCTGTAGCAGTCGCTAATCCTTGAGAAAAAAACAATTGCAAAAACAGCAAAAGCTTTAAATGTCTGTTATTTTAATGCATGGAAATTGAGTTAAAGCTATTCGGAAAATATGATAATTGCCTTTATCTGAACAGGTTATAAAGATACATAAATAGTCACGGGAACCACCCTTTTCAATGCTACTGTTCACCTAACTTTCTACCCAGCCAAACCAAAGAATTGATTGATTGGCCTATTAAAAACACATGTTAGAGCAGCAGTGCATGATTAATGGACCTGTCTTTCTTTCTGGATCCCAACTAACGTAAGGACATCCTATTAAACACAACCACACAGGCAATTTTTTTTTTTTTGGGAAAACAAGCACACAGAATTGTATATACTTAAGTGGTAAAAAGAATTGAAAAAATGAAAAGCACAATTGTTTATGTAAAATGGTATAATTTTGTTTTTAGTTTGAAAATCGCATCACCAAATAAATTAGAATTAGGTTAAATATTTTGTACAGTATCACATCAGCTTTTCGTTTTCGGCATGGTAAACATTGTCCCAAAAACACTGTATATATGGCATCGAGGGCTGGGGGCAGGAGTACCATACGGTGGTGACAATAAAGAAGGTGATTTTGTCACATTTCCGATGAAAGATTTGGTGATAGGTAAAGAGTAAGCAACCTAATCATAGCCTGCATAGTGATGAGTCCTCTCCAATGTCCAAGAGAAAAAAATCGTACCCCCAAAAAGCCAATGGCTAGGGGCACACACCATCTCAGCTGGCATACCTTGATGGACGTAAAGCTCCTAGATTTCAAACCGAAATTCATTCTAAACGCCAAACAGAAACGAGAAAAAGAAAAAGGGAGACAATAATGAAGCTTCCCTGGCAGTACTTCAATTTACTGCCAAACACTGGAAAAGAAGTTTAACAACTAAAGAGGAGTGCAAGTATGCCTGCATGTAGTTGTCAGTTTTCTCTTCTCTTTTCCTGGTTTTATGTTTGACTTGAGATATGAAACAACACACAAAACAAAACAAAGATGGTCTGTAACGAGGTTTATTCAGTATAGCTATATAAACATTCAGCACGGCTGCCTTGTAGCTGTTTCACATTTGTTCCGGTACTCCTTAATTTGTTCCAAATTATTACCATTAATGCGAAGGCTTCAAGTTTATATTTTGATAATCATGCAATAAATAAAGTTTAAGTTACAAAATCTAACGCTAATCTCTTATCTGAAGCTAAACATACACGTCGGTAAAACATAAACTTGCTTATAGTAAAGTCTTCTAGTAATATAAATACGTAATACACACAAGAAATGTGTCCTCCCACCCACTGTTGAAAATCATTAACCACTCGGAAAAACAGAGGAATAGACCTTGAGTCAATCATGTGACACGACAAAATCAAGCATATCGACAACCTGGGGTGGGCGGTTTGGATTCCATATTCTCGACAATGATGACCGGAAAAGAAAGTTTGAGACTTTGAGGGATTCATGGAGCAGTCATTGGGAAAATTAAGTTGTATGTATAATTGTTTTTGGCTTCTTGGACGGCTTGGAAAGTTTGAGTTAAGCTCAAAACTTGTTAAACAGGTTTTTCAAACCACCATTCACCAAACTCTAACCCTCATTGCCCATGTCAAGTGTAATTCCTTCCAACTATTCAACCCACCCACCTGAATAACCCTTGAAACTACTACGAATATATTATATCTTAGTTTCCATTGAATTTTTACCTACCTTGAGGTAGTTGCGTTAAAAACTAGGTCTTATTTTCTCATCCTGAAGCATGTCAAGACATGAAAATGTACCAAACACGAATTTGTTGGTTTTGACGTCAGAGATTTCATAATCTAGCCAATTTGTTCACAATTTAAAAGGTAATGACTGTCATGACATCGGTTTTAAATGAGTATATTTACGAACTTGCCATGCACGAGGGTCACAAGAAAAAAGAACAGGCTTGGAGAATGGGAGAATTTTACCATAACTAGTTTTAAAACATCCACAAGACCTTCAATAATGGGACCAAATATAAGGAAAAGATAACACTACTGCAGAAATCCGGGGTCTATATACACAAATAGATTATGGGGGGTAAAGTTCTCTGTAGGCTTAAGTCTAGATGAGACTAAAGTCTAACAATTACAGTGGACAGACGTGTAATGTAATCCGAGCAGCAAACACAACGCCCTGTGAAGAAACAAAAAGTGGCAGGTTAGGATTGCATGATAAAAGAGACAAGCAATTAAAACTTGTAAAAATTGCACTTCACACCAAATGCCAAGATAAGAAACTATCAAACTATCTTTGCCTCATCCATTATTCCACTAAAAGATCCACTCGATGATATCTTTCACACATTCTTCTCACGGCTTGAAAATTTGTTTCATGCAGTGTGCATGTCATGGTAAAATCTTAATAGGATAAAATTCCTAGTTTAAAAACAATATAGTTCATGTGAGATGCAAATCAATTTATCCTCCCTGTTCACAATAATCTGACTTTTCAACAACAGCATCATTGAAGACAAAGATTAACTCAAGCGGGAAGCCCAAACAAAATCAATAATAAGATCTCTGCTGAAAGCATGACATTTCAATTTGAAACTGTGTAAATAAAATATCACAAAAAATAGCTCCACTTGTAAACGTATATAACCCAATTTATGCCTAGTAGGCTACTAGTCCTGTCTCCATTACCACCCAGAGAAGAGGGCTATAGGAGATAAAGTAGGTAAAGTTGTCCTCTCCACAGCCCTTCACAACAGATCAAACTTCAGCATCAGTTTCAAATTTCATCTCTTCTTCAAAGTCACACAGTAGGTCAATTCAATAAACATTAGATGTTCATGATCACGGAAATTCAACAGAATTTCACTTTCATTTTATAATAACAATACCAAACTTCAAATAAGCTTATTCTACAAGAATATATGTTCACATTTACATCTAACAAACTAATAGCCCAAATTATTCAAATTTTACTGCAGCACGGGGGTTGGTGAACATTATGCAAGTCGGCTACTTCAATGATGTACACACTGTAGGACTAGATTATTCTAAGAAAAAGCCCCAACAAGGAAGAAGAGGCATTGCAATAAGAGACAACCTTCAATACATCAACAGAGCTAGAACAACATAATCCAGAAAACTCTTGATGGCTAATTATTATATTAAATAACTGGACAATAGCCTAGATTAAAAAAAAAGGCTTCATCAAACTAAAATAAAGACAGAGAACGTCACATACTAACACTAACATATGCCCAAATCAAAGACCATTATTGAAAAAAAGCCACTTATCCTACTACCAAAATTTTATCTTTTATACCCATTTAGCTTACAAGTTCATATATACAGTCCCATCGTCATAAATCAACAAATTTGACATCTCATTGCACAAAATTAAAACTCAAGTGTTCAACCTCAAGCAAGCTTCAAAATTAGACAATCGAACTGATTATTCAAGGTCAATTATAACTAGTCTATTAAAATTGGCAGAAAATTTCAAACCCATTACCAAATTTACAAACTTTGATCCCTCAGTTGGGAAAAAAAATCGTCACATATCGCTTTCAAAGAAATTATCAACAAAAAGAATTGGTACTAAAGAAAGAAAGAAAAGCAACCCCATTAGCACTAAAATCTTCAATTACAAGGTTTTCCAACAGAACAGTTAAAAACAAATCGAGGGAAAGGGCACTTTGAAACTTTTCAAAGTTGAAAAAGTCAAACCTTTATTATTTTAGTAGTTAGTTTTAAGAGGATGAATGCTGGCCTTCGCAGAAGGGGCTTTCGTCGAAATTCTTAGCTGGATATTTAGCCGTAACCATCCCAACTTCAAAGACCAAATTATCCCCACTAGATCGGATCCCCGTTATGGACCACCACTTGAACAAAGCCCGGACTCGGATGCCATCCAGCTCCGCTATCTTCCCCTGGTCAATTTTCCCCGTTATCCGCTTGGAGTACGTGGCCAGGTAGTTGTCAGGCGGAGCGTTATCTTGCACGTGCCACCAAGATCGACGGCGAAGTCGCCGGATGTTTGGTTTAGAGTGTATTTTTGGACAGAGGCGGGAAGGAGACCGACTGGGAAACCGTAGGTCGTAAGCTCGGTGTGAGCCTGGGTGACTGGCGGTTTCGGGATTTTTGGGGACCGGGTTTGGGAGGAGAAGGGTAGACTAATGACAAGGAGAAGCGAGAAGAGAAAGAGAGAATTCTTCATATTTTCTTTAAATTGGACTTGATTTTCCTTGCTCGGTGCGAATGAGGGTTTTGTTTTTCTTTTTATTTTTTCCTATTTTTCTGTTTTTGTTTTGTTATTTGGGAGCGAGGTTAGTTCAGAGGAAGAAGGACGCGGGCAAGTCAGCAGCAGTTAAAAGAGTTGGATGACAGCATGACCTGTTGATGAGGTAAAGCCGTAAAGGACAGAGAAACGACATCGTTGTAGGTTTCATGCAAAAGGCCTTTTCACCACCGTTTTTCTGCCTAGATGGGCCTTAAGACAATTGATCTAGCCCAATCACGAACTATAACTTCATGCTTAAGGCCCATGACTCAATAATTTAAGGCTTGACAAAGAGTCATTTATCCCCTTACCCTTGACCCAGGTTGAACTAGGTGGCGCTGGATACCCACCCTGATTCCTGACGCATACCATACATCCTCTTAATTGGCAATTGAAGTGTGTCAGAGTCATATAATCTAGGCTGGCCGCTACCACTCCGCAGAGCAGCTGCCACAAGACCCTCCATTTACATTACTGTGTGACGGCCAGCTCAGTCCCAGGCAGCCAGCTGTCTATTTGTAGCCATAATATTTGGTTGTAAAAATTGACATATTTTTTGGTTTTTTTTTTCATTTCTTTTTCTGGGGAATGAATTTTCGCAATCTTGAGTTTGATTTGTTTGTTTGCTGCAGAGGGCACAGAGTTCCTCTTTCGCCCTGGAACCTCCGGTCGAGCGTACAAAGTACAAGCAGAACCTTCCTGCTTTGGCGTATACTTTTCCTCATGTTAGTGGGTGTTTGGTACCGTTTATAAATTGCATGAATAGAAATAAAGTGATTAGTTTTTAACTTTTTAGTTTGGAAGAGAAATTCATTTTAGTTTTTTAGACCAAATTAAAAATTAAATTTTTCAAAAAATTCCAATTTTTAATAACAAATATATGTTTAATGCGATTTCTTTACTTTCTCACTTTACTTTTTAATAATCCATAAAATTTTATTCATCTTTTATTATTAGATTTAAAATTGTCTTTTCATTTGTTAAATTTATTATTTTATTTATTAAAAATAATTAATATATCACCAAATAATAATTATAAAACGTTGTAAAATGTTCTAAAACAAAATCAAACACAGTGGGAGATGGCTGGGCTGAGACACTGTGACTACCAATACTTAAGCCCAAAACATCGGGCGATGCTTGAAAATGTCGGGGCGCATCACACATGCAACGTACAGCCACACACGAAGAAACATGCGCATCAAAGCTCTCTTTTTATGTCTTAGGTATACATACATATATAAGGAGATTGACATAAACAAGAGAATAAGCATATTCCCAATTTCCATTCTTCACCATCAACAATTAATCAGCAAATGAAATTCAAGTTTTAATATAGTGAAGTTGGATGGAATCTGGCCCTGGATGGGTCCAGGTCGATTTATGCACTAATCAAACTCTTAAAAACACATGTAATGTCCTCCAACGATCAGGACAAAATCACATTAAATGAACAGTTTGTTAGGTATATATCAATCACCACTCCTACGGGGTAATGTTTAATTCCAAAATGGCAATTTTATATCTATGCCAGCAAAGAAAAGAAAATCAAAGTACATAACATACTATAAAATATAGTAATAATTACAATATTGTTTTGCTGCTAGCAAAATACAATAGCAAAACAGAACCTGGATGAGCTTACACACAGTCTTTTAAGTAGCTGTAGTGCAGTTCTTTCTTCTTCTTTTTTTTTTTTTAATAATTTAGAGAAGAGAGATTTGACTTTAAAAGATCTCTTTAATTAAAGGAATGGCCAACGTCTCTTCCTTTACTCTCCTCTACAGAGGCCAACAAGAACTTGGACAATTCTATAATAATATATAGTACTGTATGTTTTAAATCCTAGTAATAGTACAGAAGTTGATTCCTCTTTTTCTTCTCTATGATCTATGGCTTTTAGGAGGTGCAGTGGTAACACAGGAAAGCAAAATGATGTTCATCCATCAACAAGGAGAGGCCCAAAGCTCTGCTTTTTTAACCTTTGAGACACTTTCCAGCACTTCAAAAGGGATTATATCACCAATTACAACCACCCTCTTGCTTTCCAGGTCTACTTTGTATGAGGTCACTCCTGTTTTTTCATGGAACAGGCTGGAATTACATGACAGTAATAAAACAAAGACACAAACTGAAAAGGTATACATAGAAGCAAACAAAAATTGCAGCACAAGCAATATACTGTATGGATGAGTGATGACCCTTGTGCATTTTGGCCAATCTATGGCTTTACTTTTGAGTCTGTTAGGTTACTGAAGTCTGAAAACTGTTAAACAACTAATAAAACACAATTTAAAAAGAGAGGGGATGTATAGTGGGGGGAAGGTAGAGAAAGATAAGATTGAGAAGATCAATGAACGGCTATAATGCTTTTGAATAACTTGTTTTTGTTTAGTGTTAGGTCCTTTGAGATCACTTAATTGATTAAAAAATGGAATTCATGCATTCTTGCAGTAAAAGTAGTGAAAACGGTGATATAGAATTTCTGATGAACTGTATTGCAGTTCTTGGTTTGGACAGGTAGAACGATGAATCTTTTGAACAAAGAAAAAAGGGGTGGGGGGTGAATCAGAAGAGTTAAAGGAAGAATATATTGCTTACCATCCAGCTTGGAAATGTGCTTCTCTACTTTTCTTGCACAGCCATGGCAATGCATTGATACCCTTAGTACCACCATCTACAAGGTTAAATCAACAGAACAGCTTCTCAAATTCCCTTCGGTCCTTATTGACAACCCTCTACTTAAGCCATCTAGCTATTCAAGTTTTCATTGACTATATGGTCTACTTTAGAATAAAGGACACATTAGAGATAGATAAAGAACCTTACCTTAGGCTTAAGTTGAAAGGCCAAGGTCTGATGATTGCTAGCAACGACATCTTTCAATCTCAGCAACTGGGGTTTTTCAGATGTTATCAATGGCTTTTTCTCGAACTCATCTTCCAAGGTGTTCATGCAGAAACAAGAGCATGAGCCTGAAGACAGATACAAACAATCTAGCATCTTGCCAAAACTGAGTTTTCCCATTGCTCCCAAATTTTCTAACACACAAAGACAAATATAATCTCTCTGACCCTCACTCCCTTAGGAAACAGAAACTTGCACACATAACCAAATGTCGATCTTATAGGAAGAAAATCAACCAAAGCAAAACTTCACGGCCCGTGCATTATAATAATATATGTAGGGAGACAGAGAGGGAAGCAAAAGGTCAAATTTTCTTGGGAGAAACAAAAGCTAGACAGAACCTAATGAAGCTATTGAAGAAGAAAAGAACCTTCGAGGCCAATTTATGTTCAGGAGTTGCCACTAGTCAACAAAGTTTTCAAAAGGTCACTGGGCAACCCAAAACCAAAAAGGCACTCTTAGCTTCAGTTTTCACCGCAAGCAGCATTTGTCATGTGGTGAGCTACTAATAAAGACAGCATCCACCTGAAAAATTATCCTATAAAGACTGAAGGGGAGGGATAGGGATGTTCATGTGAGACTTGCAGTTGGCTTGATTTGAAAGCGAGCATTCAGTGTTTCATGTGACAATTCTTTTTGCTTATGAAAGAAAATTTAAAAACACACTAAAAGAAGCAAGTGAAGAAGGCCATAATTTCATATGACTAATAAAGGGGCAGAGAAAGCAATAAAACAGGGCTCACAGTCACCAGTGCAAGAAATTGCCAAGGACAACTGAAACCTGGCATGGCATGTGATGATAGCTATGAAATAATAAGAAGATTTATTTATCGCCAAAGACTTGTTAAGCATCTTTAGTAGTGTATATAAGTACATTTGGTAGATGATCATGGCGCATGGCCTTGAGCATGCATTTGTAAGAGATCAAAAACAACTTTATAATAATCAACTAGAGAAGAATATGCTGTATATCTAATTAAGTTTTTCTTTTTTTTTTAATTTCAAATTACATCATTGCCTTTGTTATCCCTCGTTTTTTTATATGTACATAAATTAAGGATAGACTAGCCGTCTGCATGATAAATTAACCAAAGCATGGAAGGAGACATGAAGATTGATTTTGATTAGACTAGTCTAATTTCCCTACCTGTTCATGACATTAACATATGATATTAGAAAAACTTTCTTTTTGGGGTGGTGTTAGTCTCTTGGAGGGCGATGTGATGGGATGGAGTAATAATTCAAAAACAGTGAGTGAGAGTTGAAGTTGTTGGCAACCTTGTCTTGATCTTCATTCTTTCAAATATTCATATAGAGAAAGAGGGCACAGGCGGCATTGAATTATTGGTGCCCCCTGACCTCAGAAGGATTGGAAATTATTGGATGATTTGAAATTATAAATAGTATATTATATCTTTCCTACAAGATTAATGGGACTGTTCTCTAAACAGGTTGGTCCATGTGACTGATGGTTCCTTTTTGTGCGAGGAAGGACGAATTTTCGAATAAAAAGAAAAGTGAATGGTGAAGTCATGTTAGGCACGTGTTCGTCACATGACCTTTTGGGAACGCAAGTGCAACAAACCAAAGCTGGATTTGCCAATTTTTCATGTGGAGGCATTCAAAGAAATGTGGGTGACAGAGAACCAGCAAAGTTAATTTGGGGCCAAATGTTCTGTTTCTGGCGGCTAAAAGGCCTAAGTGGAAGCACTGCCACTTGGGTTTGTTCTGGGCAAACGTTCTTGCTTTCTGGATCACTAAAATATATACGTAAATGTGAATCAATCAGTGCTCTTTAGTCTTTACTACGACATGAGTGCTCCACTTAATGCTGCAGAAACAGAGCAGTGTAGCAAAAGAAGCATTAACTCTAGGCACTACTAGTACAAAACTTACAAGGTATTTTGTCGGCAACTTTGGCTGCGTTTGGTACATCGTTGAAATACATTGTTGAAAGTGTGATTATTGAAAATATAATTTTGTAATATTTGGTATAGTAAGAGAAAATGATGATTTTAAAAAATGTGATTACTTAGAGCATTATATTATAATATTTTGTTTGTAATTATTTTATTAAGAATATAATGTAAATTAACAACATTACCCTTATACATAAAAAACATATAAATTGAATAAATTTATAATTTTTAATATAAAATTTTACTTTTTAACTTTAAGTAATTAAAATAATAAATAATAATATTAAAAAATAATAAAATATTTTTATATTAATTATTTAAATATTTAAATATATAAAATTATTAAATATTTATTTTTACCTTAAACTTATAAAAATTAAAAATAAAAAATATTATTAAAAAAAAATTCATCGATAAATAAAAAATTTTATGAATAGATATTCTCATCTATCAATAGATGTATTTTTTTAAAGTTCTTGACGCTTTCTTTCTCTCAAAGAGTGACATCCAAACACATTTTCCTTTCAAATTCTCTTAATTTTTTAGTAAATTTCCTTCATTTTAAACTATTTAAATATTTATTTTTTAATTTTTGATATCAAAAACATAATTGTTCTCAAAATACTTATAAATTCTTAAAAATTTAAATTAAGATTTTATAAAATCTAAAATCTCAATCTCTTTAATTTTTAGATTTAGTGATGAAATTTGATCCAATTACGTCAGTGACAAGCCACCCTTCCTACGGGCAATAAGAAAGATGGAGACGAAGGCAAGGTGAGGAGGAGGAAAAGCCAGAAGGTAAAAAGGAAGAAAGTGGTGAAAAAGGTAGGAAGGAGAGAAAAGATCAAGAGGATAAGTTGGAGAACAAAAATAATTTTACTTTCCATTTGTTGAGGGAAAGTAACTTTCCCTTCGGGAGAGAAGGGAATGATATTCTCTTCCCTCATTGCAATGACATTGCTGAAGAATTACTCTCATCTTAAAACATCAATCAAATACTGCAATGTGATTCTCTGCATTTTAATCACAATGAATGTCTCTTATTTCCTATCAACCAACTACCCCCTTCATGTCATGACGCGGTTCCCCCTCCCCCCAGTGGAATCGAGGACAAGACCATGCAATTATCGCTGA